TTTTTTTTTTCGGAATGCTATATTCTTTAATTTGGGCAATTTCCTCTTCTGTTACTACGGCAAAACGAGCATCCATTTTGAAGAAAAAGCAAAAAAGAGACAGTGAATTCAGAGACAGTGAATCTTGACCAATCAGAATGCAGGAAAATCAATAGTCACCTGGAAATTTATACTAAATCTCTGTAGAAATATGGAAAATGTTTCCTATTTCTTAATTATATTTTCACGATATTTATAAGATATAGTTAAGACTCACTTTGGTGCTTGTACTAAGCAAAATTTACTGGCCAACAACTTGTTACCTGTTTCATTGCCACTGGAGTCCGGATAGCCATACAGCGCATGAATTAAACACAACGATTCGATCAATGGAGGTAAATTTATTCTAATTTTTGCTGCGATGTACATGTAGCTTTTAATTGAAGAATCTTTTGTCTTTTTTTCCAAATACAAACAATACTTTAATACCATTGACAAAAATTGCTTGATGTCTTTGAAAATCCTACTACGTTCTCTTAGGAACCCGGCCAACAACGCATCATTTGGATCCATTTTGTAGACAATTCTTGTATGCACTTCTAACTGCAAAGAACGCTAAAGCCGGTCCAGGATTTAAATACTATTTCCTAGAAAATCTTTCGGCTTGATACCAGAGAATGACCACATTCGCGTCTTGTTTTGAGAAACACGTTGACACAACCGTGTCCTGTTTTCGAGAAACCAAGGCATCTACTTCATATTTTGCCACAATATTTTACCACGGTATATCGACCGATTAGTTGAGGTTAAGAATGTGTGAACGTTCAACCAAAATTTCCAACTAAACCAAACCAATGATGATATTTTATCTTTGCTGTACTGTCTGCATGTGCCAAGTGTATAGATAGTGTCAATATAAATAACAACCTTTCGTTGGTATAGGGATGCAACTACCTGAAAAATATAAGGAGAATTTCAAGGACGATATATAGTTCACGTAATAATAGATCGATATACGAGTTTCGTGACAATTTGACTGGAACAACTGAAAACAAAAAAAAGTACCGATATAGCTCTGGAGGTTTACACCGTGAACCTTTAAGGGATATAAACAAACAACAAACCCAACCTGGCATACAAGAATTACAAATTTTAAATTAATTAGATAACGACGCGGAAATAGCAACGAGTCGCTTCATTCAGGTAGTTCGCGTCAACCATGAGAAAACGATACAGTCCCTAACAAATAACATTCACAACCCGACGTTTCGACAGTTCAGTATAGTGTCAGTCGTCTGGATTATCTAAGACGCAGCGCGGCTACTCTAGCGATGACGTCACCGCCTAACACTGCAGTAAAGATACTCCTGTTGGAGATAGCGTCATCGCCATTCAAAGCAAGATAGATCCAAGTTACTCCAGGAGGAGGGTTTCGGTGTTTTAAATTTTCCGTTGTCATTTTTGAAAGCCATGCAGGTAGTAAAGTTGGAGCAATAAACCTACGGGCAAAATGACTTTCAAACGCAATTAGTATAGGTAATCGTGCGATGGCGAGTACAATTGGGGATTAATAAGTACGAATGATGTTTGGAAATTTTGCCAAAATTGGACGAGCTGCCGGAGCGAATCCAATTTGGTAAAATTTCCAAACATCACGAGTACTATTAATCCCTAATTGTACGAGCAACATCGCATGATTACTTGTTTATTATTAGCATGACAAAAGTGGACACTCAATATCAACATTATATTCTCTCGCCAAAGCCCAGTCCTGCCAGACTTTCAACCAAAATTATGTGCTTTTGTTCGTATTTTCATTTAGTTCTTTTTCTTTAAGTTCCTCTAGGGCAATTTTATTTGTGTTTAACTACCTTTCCGCCATTTTGTTTGTTTTGGGAAAATCATTAATTGTACTGCAGTACAATTAATGAAATAATTGTACTCCTTGTAGAAAGAAATGTCAAGTTTCAGGTTCTTGCAGTTGATTCCAGTCTTCAGCTTCGCTTCGAACTTGACCCAATTGCCATGCAGGATTTAATTCAATACTCAAGAACACACACGTCTAAGTTTATATATATTAATTATAAAAATGACATAACATAAGATGATTATAAAAATGACATAAAAATGACATAAGATATGATGATTGGATATATATATAAAAATGACATAAGATATGATGATTGTATAACTACATATATATATATATATATATATATATATATATATATATATATATATATATATATATATATATATATATATATATATATATATATATATATATATATATATATATATATATATATATATATATATATAGATATGGATAAAATATTAATAATGTTTAAAAAGAAAGATAAGAATTGAAATTGATTAAGAAGCACATAAAAAGTAAAAAACATTGAGAGTTTCTGAAAAGAACTTTAAATCGTTTTGCCCTTATTAGAGGAAGTAGTTGTTGAAGAGAGTGGTGTCGAAGAGAGCAGGCTTGAATTTTCTTTCGATTAACAATTTACAGTTTGTGTCCAATGTTCAACTTGACAAGCAAAGTGATTGTTACTGAAGTGCAGTCAAATACGTTAACCAGCTTTATCCTGCAGTATTGGAAAACGTGGTTTACATGAAAGTTCCGCTGTAAAACCCATGGAATCGTGTATCGCGGGAATACGCAAATGGATGCTGTATAAGACGAATAATGGCAAGATGAGTTTGTAATTATTGCTATGTACAGTATATACAAGCAACAGCTTGAAAGTTATTGTTTCATAGGGAAATCGTTGTTTCAAACTGCCAAGATACCAAATGTCTATATAGTTCATGCATGCATTTATCGGACATCAGCTTTGGTTGTATTATACTCTATGGTTTTCCAGCCGACGGTAGAAAATTCTTGGTGTTGACGGACAATTTCTCGAAGATTTATTTTCCATTTTCAAGATGGGTTGGTACATGAAATAGTTGCAATGGCTAATAAATAACCTCTCCTTCCATTTTAAATGAATCGGTGACACTGGGGCAATCAATTGCGTTGGAAATCCTGAACATAAAAATCCAAGTGCAAACCATTATTAACCAAGTGTATATATACTCGCTTGCAGTGATTAGCCGAATTATCTTGTAGCATGATCCTCATGCACCACATATATATGACAAAAGACAAATCAGTTGAATAAATGGGAGAGTTTCTGAAATATATACAGTAGGACGATATTATATCATAGTATGATTCTTATTAGGTTTTCTGAATATTCTTTTCCATTTTATTTATCACAGATTCCATTGCTTTAGTGAATTCTGTATCTGAATTTATCATTTTTTCCATGCCTGCTTCCAGTTCGTCCGAATCGTAAGAGTTGTCATCGGTGTCATAACCACAGTTGCTTTCGTCCTATTATATTGGGACACAAAACATAACATATAAGCTCAACATTAAATACGTTTACAGCTTTGCATAAACAAGTCCTGTAGGGGAAATTGCACCCATATATATATAGCAATGCCCTATATATACCTTCATAAAATATGGTGCAAAACACTGAAGCTACGAATCAAAGTTGCATCGATATAATTAAAGATATTCATTATTTACCTCTGACTCTTCAGATTCAGTGTCACCATTGCAAGGGTCTGCATTCTAAAGAAAAAAATAAAAAATGTTATATTATAATTGCAACTCAGATTAAGATATGAACCTAAAAAAGACAACATGGTTCCATGCTATCCTTTACAAGAAGTGGAAGAAGGAGGGAGGAGCCGGCAGACACATGTAATTTATCTGGGGGGGGGGGATGCGTCTCCCCGTTTTCACAGGATTGGCATCCTGGTACGGTTTAAAACCTAAACTGCTTTGCTATATATACTAGCAGATGTGTTTGGCTTTATGTGTGGTTGCGACAAACATGTATAACTGAGTGGTTAATTTTTATAGGTTATCCAGTGAAAGTTTATTTACCTCTGATTCATTCGACTTTACGAACTCCGAGTATTTAAATGGGGCTGCATTCTAAAGAAAAATGTTATATTAAGGCCATATTAAACGTGGCGTGTTTTGCTGCAACATGCTATGCATGTAATTTCGGATACAGAGCATGCATGTTATCAAAAAAGTATTCACATGAATATCGCCAATATTCTACTCTTTCGTTACATAACATACTTTTTTACTATATAAAGTATAGTGTTATATATAGAAATTTTGGGCACTCGGAAAAGTCGTATTTGACTCGCGATAAAAATATCGCAGCAACACACGTAAAAATACGATATTTTTTTGCGTGTGTTGATACGATTTTACAGCCAATGACAAGTGGCGAAATAAATTTAAATAACCAATCACAGCGCTCTTTATAGCCTAATTGATAATACAATAAAAAAATTTCAGCAGCCATTTTTCAAATTGTTTTGTACAAAGTTTTAAAAACAAAAACCTGAAAAACCATGAGCACACGATTTCATGAAATTAATGAAAAGGACGTTGACGAGTTCAATGAAACAGAGGAAACTCAGAATACTAAAAGAAAAACAGAACTATATATAGACGTCAATTTAATTCATTCTTATATCTCAAGTGAAGCTGCAGGCCATGTCAATAGACCGCCGAGAATGGAAGAACTGTCGCCGTCTCAACTCGATACATCGCTGCACATCGCTTTTCTGTAAGAATTATCGCTTTTCAATTCTCGTGTTGAACAAGATATCTCACTTGTTCGCTACGCTCACTCGTGAGATATCATGTTCAACACTCGAAATAAATCTGGTATTTCCGCGCACCCATGTCAATAAGGAAAGAAATGGGATGAAAAATGTCGAAAGAGAAAGCCGAGGGCCATGCACACAATCTTCCTGCGACCACTTCCTATATATGTTAACATGCAGGTTCTAGAGTTTAGGTCAGAAATTGCGTTGCAAGTTGCAGTAAAATTTCCTCGTGTAAGATGGCCTTAGATAAAATTATATAAAAAACAAACAACCTAAAAAAGACATATATAATGGAATACCTAAAATAGTTTTCTGAAGCTTTTTACATTAATTATAGGCCGTGGGATGAGCATCCAAACTATGCAATTCCGTTGCACCCCTCGTGGAACTACGTAATTTTCACATGAATAAATAGATAAAAACTTACTTTATCAGAATCCGTTGCTCCCCAAGTGAAACAGGTGCACAATTGGGAGAAAAATCCCTCCAAAGTTTGATATTTTCGCGCTTCGAAATATTCGAACCGCCATTATTTTGGTAGCAAATACGCATGCGCAACTCAGTCAAACTCGCACTGCGCAGACTATAAAAATAGATTCTCAATGGGGGGTTTCCCCGATTTCCTCCGCAAAAACAACAAAATAAAATCACAGAATACTGATCAAACCTTGTAATATAAATACACCCACATTAAATATTGTTAAAAACACATTGTATATTTTGCTTGCTCATATGCTAAATCACTTCAGTTCATTGGCTATTGTTTCAAAATACCGTTTTAACGTTTAATTCTACTTTATATAAACATCCTAATTCAATACAAATCTGTGTGAGGTAAAAAAAAACACCTGTATCAAAGAGGACGGAGAATAAAAAATATATATGCATACAATTCACACGATCAAGGAACAATTAAAATGAAATATTTGTGAAACACTCTTTATCCGTTTGCCGACGCTGATAAGACAATATGACATACCGAAAGATTGGAAAGACAAATAATATGATAACAGTGTTTCCAAGTTCATCCCGGGCTTTAAGGGATATTTATATAAACTCGAAATTCATAAAAAAAAAAAAATTAGGAGGAAATATAAAATCCATAATTTCATTATAGCTATCTATAATTGAAAGAAATGTTTTCATCTTTGAACCCAGATTTTCATCAGAGCAATAAAATCCCACTTATTGGATCCTGGCCAAGGTGGCTTTTGTCTGGTAAAGTTCTACTTCTCGTATTTGAATTATTACATATATTATTATTTATATTGTGACATAAGTTGGTATTTAGCCACTATCTAGAATAACAACGAACAATTCATGGTTTTTCTTGTCCACACTAGTTGACTTTTTCTTATAGATTTGCTGCTGTGCATTTTAGCTCCTCCACCAAGGTGCGTTTTAGCTTCCCAGACATGACCATACTGTTACCCTGTCCATGAGAGGGATATATGTGTTGATCATATAAATACTGTGGATTCGATTGAGAATATTGAATAAGTAAATAATACTGATCTACTCCACTGATAAATCTATGTGCATTACCACCATTGTTCACCTCAAATCATTAATAATTCATGAACAAATT